TTTTTTTTTTTTTTTTAGGTTTCCAAGGAATAAAGAAAGGAAGAAAGAGATGCGCAAAAATCGATATATTGCGATAAATTGCCAGTTACAACCGTTATCATATGTCACTGAAATATTATCACCTTATTCTTTTTCATTTTCAGAAAAAATAAAGTAACCTTTTTCTTCTTCATTCTTTTTTCGAAGGTATTCCTTTTGCTGCTCTACTGATGTTGTAATGACACGCAAGAATTCTTGTTTCTTGTTTTCATCACGTGAGAGTTCGTAGAGATGGTAATCTTCTGCTTCTCCAAAGTTAGTTAGCGCACGCCAGTAATCGTTCCACAAATGGTTTAAGCCACAACGTAATAAACGACGATAAAACGGAACACACTGTGGCTCTGATGTCTTGGTTTCTTCCTCACGATTTGCATCGAAACAATTCATCAAATCCATACGATAACTTGTACAGTTAGTGTGAAGTGCTGCATTCTGTAAAAGAGCATCTTGGTTTTCTTTGGAACTCATGCAAGTGACATAAGCTCGATGTGTAGATCGACATGTTTTCTCATTTATACCATTTTTGGTGTTGATCTCGTGACGATTATCATCATGTTCAATTAAGTGATGTTTCTCTAAACATTTTGTGTACTCGTCTAACTGTTTATGGCATATATATGCATTTAGGTTCTGTCGCAGCATGAAGGCGTTGTGTTCCTCCTCAACGGCGGGGTCAACATCACTGCCGCGATCTGCAATAGCCGCGTTCTGTTCCTCACGCCACTTATCAAAGAGATCCATAGAAAACTGCGAGTGCTTCGCCGGTGTGCTCAAAGGCCGCCATGCGGTAGAGGACATGGCAGAGATCAACCTGATCCCCACAACAGTGGGCTTTTTGTGGACAAGAAAAGAATTAAAAAAGAACAACAAAAAAAAGGAGAAAAAAAAAAAAAAAACAGAAAAGAAGATGCAAAAAAAAAAAATTCGTTCTCAGAAACAATGAAAAAAAAAAAACAAAAAAACCCAAACTCACCAATTAGAGGTCACACCCACACCCACACAGAAACAGAAAATGTTCCTTAACAAAAAAAAAAAAAAAAGAATAATGGAACGAAAGAAAAACCAAGAAAAAAAAAACGTAATGGTGCATAAATTGCTCCCCAATGGTCTCCTCCCCGGCGGGACTCGCCCCGCTGTTTTGCCGCTGCCAAAAAAAAAAAGAGACAGAAGCGCCACAGAAGAGGCGAGAAAACATGCACAAGGAGGTGATCCTAACAGAGACCTCAGTTATTCCCACATCTGACGCATATCATTAAAAGATATTTACTTACGTGATGGGGCGCCCTGCTTGCCGCGGGCCTGAGGTGCCTTCTTTTCGCTGCGTTGCTTACCGCTTTGCGGACGGCCACCCTCCTCGTTCCTGGCGGGACGGGCACCGCGTTGCTGCTGCGACTTCTGTTGCTGAGACTTCTGTGACTTTTGCTGCTGCTGTGGCTTGCGAGCACCACCCTTCTGGGCAGCACCCTTCTGTGCGGGAGCGCCGCGGGCACCCTTCTGCTGAACGGCACCCTTCGACACACCGCGGCCAGCAGCGCCCTTCGTGTTCTTCACCTTCTTGGCGCGGGGCTTCTTGCCAGTCTTG